CCACCGGACAGGGTGGACTACCCCATGGACGTAGCGGACAATCGTGGGTGACCCAAGTTGTGACCTTGACACTTAGACAAATTTTAGAATTGAAATGACAAATGGCAAACAAGCATACAAGGAATTCAAAGTCGAGCAGGACGGCAAAAATTTTTCATTCATAGTCAGTTCATTACAATTGGGGGCGCTTCGGCCATTACATCAGTTTGGCAAAAAAAGGAAAAGCTAATTACAAAGGAGCAGGGAGTAGCCGATCAAGCCTCTTGGGCACCTCCATCCGCGGCTGGCTCTTCGACCTCGTCGGCTCCCTCCTCGGCCTCAGTCTCCTGGCCGGCGGCGGCTGCAGCACTGGTGGCATCGTCCAGGAAATCGAACTCTGTGTAATCCGGCTCGCCGAGGCCGGAGCTCTCAATGGGGGACTCCCGCTCCGACAGAGGAAGCTTGGCCTGCTCTTCTGGATCCTTCATCAGCTTTGGCAGCTTCAAGTTCCGTCTGGCCCACCCGGACGTGTAATTCATGGCCTTCAGAGCACGAGACAACCGCCGACACAGGAGCCTCTGCATCCGCTCCTGGCCCATGTTATAATAGACGACCATCTCCCTACTGAAGTACTCCTGGCCGGCGGGGGAGTTCATCCCCCAATTTTCAAGCCTGGCGGCCACCACTTCATAGCACCAGGGGAGCCTCTCATCGGCCTTCCACCCTTCGGCCAGGAACTGCTCTACGGCCTTATCAGCAGCCTGCACAGCGGCAGCCTCGGCCTCAGTTCTCGCCTTTACGGCTTCTTCATTCTTGCGCCGCTCGGCCTCAAGCTCCCTTTTGCTCTCCTCGAGCTTGGCCAGGGCATCGTCCCTGGCTGCAGCGGCTTCATCGGCCCTTTGCTGCAAAGCCTTGGCATCCTCCCGGAGCCGATCCAGGCAAGCTACCGCCTCGTCGGCCGAGGCAGCCTTCTGCTCCAGCTCTTTCAAACGAGCTATCTCCCGGTACTGCCTCTTATGGCTCTCCATGAGCATAAAGGCACTCTGCAGAAAAAAGGAAAACAAAACTCAGGCAAACGACTCTACACGGACGACGAGAAAGACGACACATAAGGAAAATAACTTACTTGGACGAGGAGGTCCATGCCGCCCTCGTACACCTTCACGTCCCCGAGCCTCTTCAGGTAAGCCCGATCTTTGGCCGGCATGGCCTGGGCCAGCACATCATGGCCGAGGACGGAATCATCAAACACACCCCCGCCGACGGGGTATTCCACCACCTTCTGGTAGGTGGCAGCGGCGATCTCCTTGCCAGCCCTCCTCGTCCGTGGCTCCTGGACGATAGGGAGCGATTGGGCGGCATCACTGGGAGCAGCAGTAAGGTCCACGACGGGACCACTATCGTCCACGCTAGGGACAGTCAGAGGACCGGCCTCGGTAGCCGGGGAAGGAGACGGTGCCCTCTTCGTCTTCTGGGAGACGTTCAGGCCGGCTTCAGTCAATTTTTTCTGACCGTCAGTGGCCGGCCTCTTCTTCTTCGATTGGGCAGGCTTTGGGGCCGCACCAGCAGTAGCCCCGCTCCCCTCGGCCGCGGCACGTCTGGCCGTCTCGGCCGCCTTAGCAGCCAACTACTCGGTCGCTTTGGCCTTAGCAATAGCCATTATGGAACGACGATCCATGACGAAATCTACAAAGGAAAAACAACAGATTAGCAAGGGAAAAGAACAAATCATAAAGACAGAAAGCCGAAGAAATAATTATCATCGGCCTAAGCAGGAATGCCCAAGTCCGGGCCGTCGGCCTCCTCGAAGGTGGTGGTCATCCTCGGCCAGAGTTGGAGGTCATCCTCCTTATCGCCATACACATGGTATCTCAAGAAGCCGAGGGCGGTCATCTTGTATTCAGTGATGTAATCCTTCACGCTCCTCGGCCCTCCTTCCAAGAAAGCCTCCACCTGAGCGTCCAAAATAGAGCTCTTCGGCGGGTCATGCAGATTAAACCTCCCGGTATGGCCGAGGGAGGGAAACTTGGTGCCACTCTCACCAAGGGATACAAAAACGAACTTGCTCTTCCACCCATGAATGGACGAAGGCAAGTCCGTGAAGCTCCTCTTCTTCGGCAGCTGTTGAAGAGTAGCATAGGCCGCACAGTTCTTGTGGCTTCCTCGGCCGATTTGGTACAGATTCATGAACAGGGCCGTCGTCGGCCTGTAGCCCAGCTCCTCACAACGGAGCAAAAACCCCACCATCAAAGAATAGCTGTTCGGCGTCAGCAAGGCCGGAGGGAGCCCTACCATATCCAGGTATTCAGAGATGAAGGGGTGAAGGGGGAACCTCAGCCCCTTGGCAAAACTCATCGGGTATACTCCAAAGTATCCCGGTGGCGGAAGAAGAACATGGTCCGTCGGCCTGGGTGCCCTAACCCGCCCGTACGGCCCCACGTACATCTGGGCAACAAGGTAGTCGGCCGCGCTGCTCTCCGGCTTGATCAGGAAGATGTTGGTGAGGTCCAAATAGGAGACGCCAGGCCCACTCTTCGGCCTCCTCACCCTCTTCGGCTTATCTGCTCCCTTCACGGCAGACACCGGCCTCGGGCAGGGAATGACAGCGGAAGTGGACGCCCCGTCCACCACTCGGGACACACCTGCGTCCTCACCTTTTGAAGACGAGGCGGACTCCTCGTCCTCGACTTCGTCGTCCACTGGCTCTTCGGATTTGTAAGGACTCAAGTGTTGTATCTCCTCCTCGAACTCCTCGAGCACCTCATAGTCAAGTGACCTCGTGGAGGGCTGGTCGTCGTAGGGATAGTAGTCTTCGTTCAAGCTCTTCATCATAACTACTACTACGAGCCTAAGGAGATTAACTCAGGATCTAAGGGTGTTCAAACGCCTAACACTAGATCACTAGCCTAGGAAGCAAAGTATGAAAAGTGAGGAAGATTGCGATGAACACTAACCTTGAACACGAAGAACACGAAGAACAAGCTTGGGAGTTTATCTCTCTAGAAAATTGGCCAGCACTTCGACAATTCAGAATGCAAATACGTTTTCTCGTCGGAGGGGGAGGGGTATTTATAGAACCCCCCACCCAACGGTCACTACACGTGGCACCCTCCCAATGGCCACATCAGCGGCCACCAATGGGAGGCCACCACGTCACCAACGGGCCAAACTACATGTCAACAGCCCACTGACAAAACGGACTCTACGGCCTATACACGTGCCGGCTTCACGAGTGCCAGCAAGCGCCCACAACGTCCTACTTGCTCGCCAAGATCACAACTGCCAAACAATAAGGAGACGGCAACGGCCAGGAACGTAACGGCCACAGAACAAAAGGAACAAAGAGCCCACAGCCATCGGCTCCTCGTAATGACCCTTGATGATAACTCTCTACAAGCGATCTGCGCACAAGGGTTCTCCCACAGGGTTACCTTGGCCAGAAAATCGCCATGAGGGTTGGATTCAGGGGGACTACGGAGAGGCCGCTTCGGCCAGGGACTCAAGCAACTCCTTCACCCCTCACACTCTTCGGCCTGAAGCAGTGGGGGACTGGGGGACTACATCGGCCTCAACAAAACAAAAAGGAACAATACAAAGAACATGAATGTAACCACAAAGCATGGCCACATCGTCCACGCATCACAATGGCGCCTCGTCGGCCAGAGGCACATAACATCATCAACAACGGCCAAAAGGAGTGCGCGAGCACCCTCATCGGCCACCCAAAGGAAAGGACGCCATCGTCCTCAAAGCAAGGAACAACCTCAACGGCCTCATCGGCCCAAACATAAACTTCAACCATCAACGTCCAGGAAAGGGAAAGCGTGCCTTCAACGGCCACCATTGAAACAAGACACTCATCATCCCCAAACGAACACATTAAGGAAACAACGGCCTCCCCGCCCACATCGAGGAACAGGTAACGGCCAAAGCACAGAACAGGATCACCAAAAAGGAAACAACGCCAACGCCGCAACAGCTAACGGCCCGGGAATGCCCGCATCGGCCAAAAGCACTAAAGCACGGGAATCTACTCTCCTTCACTTCGTCTACGTCTCAGCTTAGAGAGTGGGGGACTCCTGATGGAGTATATGGGTCTGAGCCCCCGGACCCACATACTCGGAAGAACAGAAAGCACAAGACACAGAGTGGCGCCCTCGTCGGCCAAGACGCCCCCGTCGGCCGAAAAGGGGCCAACTCAGATTATGGTCCTGAGCCCAAGGAACCCGGGTGCCCTCGTCAGCCGTGCCCTCATCGGCCGTGCCCTCGTCGGCCACGCCCTCGTCGGCCACGAAGACCTCCCAGAACCGGATTTTACACTTACTCATTTGTACAGCCCATTAGTGGCTTTGTATTCGGCCCAGTAGCGGTCCAGTTGTAAATGGGCCTCCCAAGCCCAAGGCTTGGGAGCCCAGCTCGTATTTTCTCTATAAATACTCCCCTTGGGAGTAGTTATAGGGGTTACAAAATCATTCTATTGAAGCATATTATTGCACTTCTCTCTCTAGCTCTCACTTCTCTCTAGATATACTCTATCACTCCGTGTAGAATAATTGTCCTTAACTCGATGCTTACAAAATGTGTAGGTAAATTATTTTGGAAGTTCCTTAGTTGAGAGGAGTAACTAATTATTCAAAGATCTGAGAAAAGTTTTTGCCACTTTTAGTCCCTCGACTATTGTATCAGTGACACTTTTGATACTTGACTTTTAATTTTTCCATTTTTAGTATTCGACTATAGTGCGAGAGACACTTTTGGTACATGACTTTAAAAATTTTCATATTTAGTCCTTCGAATTTTGTAAAAGTGACACTTTTGTTCCTTCAACTATTGCAATAGTGACTATTTTAGTCTTTCATTTATTGTTTCAAAATCATAGTAGGACTAAAATTGTCAATTTGATAATACTCAAAGGACTAAATGTGGGAAAATTGAAAGTCCGGGACTAAAAGTGTCTCTCGTAGAATAATCGAAGATTAAAAATTGAAAAATTAAAAGTCCACTTTGGCTAATTAACTTAACTGCTCCAGTTTTTGTTGGTATGGAATGGCCTTCAACTTCGCCGCTGCTCCAAGAACCGCCGCGATCTCACTGTTCCTCGTCGCCACCGTCATCTTCTTCATCCTCCGCCAGCCTGCCTATTCCTCGAACCGCGTTTCATCGAGTCACAGGTCACTTCTCAATTCCTCCCAACCCTCCTGCAGATTCTTCAGTGACGAATCCGATGGACTGTTCAACTACTCCTCCTTCCATTCCTGCCTCTTCCGCTACAACCCATTCCTCTCCGTCCCATTTCTTGGTCTCTTCGTGTTCCTTTACTTCTACATCCTCATCGCTACAGCACAGGCCCACTTCTCCGTCGTTGTCACCAAGCTCGTCGCTCATCTCTGGCTCTCTCCGTCCATGGGCGCGGTGACGCTTTTGGCGCTCGGGAATGGGGCCCCGGACGTGTTTGCCTCCGTAGCCGCTGTCAGGGGAGGCCATCCGAAAACTGGATTTGGGGCGATCCTCTCCGCCGGGACCTTCGTGTCTGCTTTCGTCGTAGGGTTTGTTGCGATTTATGCGGCGCCATTTGCAGTAGATCCAGCTCCCTTTGTGAGGGACGTGATGTTTTATTTGACGGCGGCGATGTTTCTGTTCTACGTGTACTTGAGCGCTGAGATTTTCCTGTGGCAGGCTATTGGGTTCGTAGGGTTTTATCTCTTCTTTGTAGTGATCGTGTTTTGGATGGATTTCGGAGATGGAAATAGGAGACTGAAGTTAGTTGGCGAAGGATCTGAGATGGGTTTGGTTGGCAATAGTAAGACGCGCAAAGGGATAATGTCTGACATGAACTGTGAAAACAGCAAGCTTTTAGGCAACTCTGAACAAATGAAGAACCCCAACTCCTCTTCCTCTGGGTTAAGGCTTGTCTTTGAGAAGGTAATATATATGTCTTATCAAGTGGATAATGTGTGTATCAAGTGTTTGTTAATTTCAAATTCTTGTGGTGGTGGTGATATAGATTTCACAACATAAATCTTTTCATGGTTATAACATGTCCTGTTTACTGTCATCATGAAGCTTAATTAGATCAGTTAAAATAATGATGCAGGGAGTATCTGTTTGCAATTTTGCTTGAATTATACTCCTTATAAAGCTTTAGTGACATCTAAAACTTTAAGATGAGAGGAACGTAAAAAAAAGCTCAACCTAACAATTTCCATCAAAGTATTCAGTTAGCAGAAGCACAGGCTATAGAAGTACTAAGAGTTATGTGCCCCCTTTGACCGATCTTGTAAATAAAACTATCCGTTTTCGTCGATCTCAAAATTAACACCAGTTTTACACATTTGGACAGATGGAGTATTAGTGAATTTGTTATGTTTTTTGACTAGGGCGCATTGAGGATTAGAAAAATTGAATAACTGAATAGCATCAATGAACCATGATAATTAGATGTTTTTTTTTCAATCCTGAGTTGGCTAGTTATCCTTAAATAGCTAAATCTTACTGTACCAGAAAAGCAGGGGTCAGGTTCATTGACACAGAGTATATGTATTATGTTGACTAGATTAATGTTAGGAGTTTGTTTTTGTTTACAGTATAAATAAGGAAATGGTACTTGTAATGCTGATACAAACATAAGTGCACCGGATAGCCTGCATAGTGAGAAGCAGTGGATAGTGGATAGTTTACTCATGTGAGAGATAGAACACAAAGGAAGTGATTTAAGAAAGCTTGGAGCTTACTCTTGAGGATCTTTCCTATTAATAGCAGCAAGCAGCTCCTATATCTTTTTAAATATTTCTCCTTAGATAACAGCAAATGCTTTATTATTTTAAGAAATTTCTTCGAAGAGGACTAAAACATGCAGAAAGTGCACGAATAGAACCAATTATGTTTTATTCCCAAAATATGATTTATTTGATTCTATTTAAAGTATAAAACTTCCCCAATTAGGAGTCAATGAGTCCTATTTTAGGAAAAAACAATGGTGGTCATATTTGTGCACTTTGTCTATGTTTTAATCCTATTGAAGGAATTTTCTGTATTTTTTTCTTGTACTTTTTTTAGTCCCGAGTACCTTTTTAATCTTAGATTATTTTGTTTAAATAGAGGGCTGCCCCTAGTGAGGAGTAGCAGGCAGTCTTTAGTTTGTAATAGCATAGCTATTGGACAAGTTTAATCTTGTCGGAGGAGTACTCGTGCTTGTTCTATCCACGTGATTTCCACAATATTGTCATTGATTTTCAGTATTAAATCCCTCTTGAATCTTTATGTATTAAAGGGTTTACTTTTTCTGAAGGACACATAGTAATATGTGTAAAATGTCATAGGATTTTATACACTGAATTGATTTAAGAACTTCAAACACCAGCATGGACGTTCATATACAATCATGCTGGTTTTAGTAGCTGCCCATAAAGATATCCTAGGCTCTAGTTTATGAATCTCCCAATAACTCTATATAAGTGGAAAAATGATGCTTTGCGAGTGATAATGTTTGTCCTTTTGGTTTGGGAACGGATGCAGTTTGAACTTCAAAGATATTATTTGTATTCTTTGTACTTTCCCTGCCAGGCCGCCACAGACCTTCTGGGATTTTTTCCTTATTGGCTTCCGAGTTAATGTTCAATCCTGGATAGTAATAAAATATTTGTCCTAGTTGCTCATAGTTGCCAGACAATGAGATAGGGTCGCACTCAAACATGTCTCTTTCATTCCCTTCACTTGTGACCACCTCTTGATGTCCTGATGGATATACCAGCAATAAATGCTTATTTCCAAAATGGATATAGATCCACTCCTCTCAGCTGTCAATTTCTCCATAAATAAAGAGATAATTATCATTGATAAGACTAAAACATGATGCATTTCCCAATATATGACTTCGTGTTTATTTCCTATTCTGATGGTTCGAGACCATGCATGTCTGCATGATAATTTAGTATCATTTTTTCTTGTTTTGTATTTTACTGCTGCCCTCATTAATTAGTTCAATCAATAAATTTGGAAATTGTCTTTGCTGCCCTCCTACACAATTATTGCCCTCTTACACAATTACTTCAATTTTGTGTTTACTGTCTATTTCATATATGGACCATATATAGAATGTATGGATTTACTGACCAATAGAATAACCGATTTATTGTCTTTAATATACTGTCTGTCATTAACTATCATGATACACATTTACTGTCAATTGTGTGTTTACATCCTATACAATGCATTAATGTATTGCCCATATTTTTATTGTCCTCTACTTACTGCCTATGCTCACCACCCGTCACCATTTATCCCTTCCTCAATTATCGGTGCATGCATTAGGTTGTATTAAATACTATTCCTAAAAACAAGGAATTAGTTCATATGTAAAAGAGCATTATCCGTTATTTATTATAATCCAGCCGGGCCATGTATGTGATGTTTTATTTAGTCATATCTACTATTAAAAACATATATGGTCATATTCTTGGAAAAGTCGTGAGTTTTAGTAATATTAGGGTATTTTTCCCATAAATAGATGTGCACTTACCTCTTTTCAACATGCCCAACATACACATTGAACGACATGAGTCATTCCCATAGAAAAGTGCATGTATCAACACTATGCGATGGTATTAGCACTTACGTTTGAATCTCACATCGAAAAATTAAAAAGAGAATGGTGATTAATAAGGTTTTGTATTGAACTAATTAATAGACTGGATTCAATTTTTTAGTGCCGTTTGGCCCAAGTGGGTTAAGATCAGTGGTTAATCCGGAAATTTATGATGGTGCTGCAACATGTTTAGGCTCACTTTATTTGTCCAGTTGTCTGTCTGGATGTTTGGGAGAAGTTTGGGAGAGAAAGACATTGAGTGGCTAACACGTTTCTTCAACATGATTTGGAGAAACAACAAAATGCCAGTGAGTTGGCGGAAGAGTACTCTCATTCCCTTATTTAAAAATAAGGGTGATGTGCAAGAATGTGCTAACTATCGAGGGATTAAGCTTATGAGTCACACCATGAAACTTTGGGAGCGAGTGGTTGAGCAAAGACTACGTAAAAGTGTGAAAATTTCGGAGAATCAATTTGGTTTTATGCCTGGACGCTCAACAACTGAGGCCATTCACCTTCTTAGACAAGTTGTGGAGAAGTATAGACACTAAAAAAGATCTGCATTTGGTGTTCATTGACTTAGAAAATGCATATGATAGGGTACGTCGAGAAGTCCTTTGGTGGGCCTTAACTAGAAAAGGCATATCACGTAAGTATATCAGCATCATAATGGATATGTATGATGCTTGTACTACAAGTGTCCGCACTAGTGTAGGGAGGACCGCATAGTTCCCTATTACTATTGGAGTGCACCAAGGATCTTCTCTGAGTCCTTTCTTATTTGCTTTAGTCATGGATGAACTTACGAAGTCAATTCAAGAAGATATACCGTGCTGCATGATGTTTGCCGACGATATTGTATTGATTGATGAGACACAATCCGGTGTTAAAGCAAAGTTGGAAGTATGGCGACAAACATTGGAGAGCAAGGGTTTCAAACTGAGCCAAAGCAAGACTGAGTATATGGAGTGCAAGTTCGGTGGAGGTAGAAGCGTTAGCAACAGTGAGATTACTCTTGATGGTAAGGAGATACCGGTGTGTGATATGTTCCGTTACTTGGGATCCATAATTCAGAAGGATGGTGAATTAGATGGAGATGTATGTCATAGAATCAGAGCTGGGTGGATGAAATGGCAAAGTGCTTCAGGATTTCTATGCGATCGAGGTATGCCGACTAAATTGAAAGGTAAATTTTATCGTACAACAATTAGGCCGACATTAATGTATGGCGTAGAGTGTTGGGCGGTGAAGCAATGACACATTCAAAAGATGAGTGTGACAGAGATGCGTATGTTGCGTTGGATGTGTGGACATACCAGAAAAGACCGCCTGAGGAATGACGTAATCAGACAAAAGGTGGGAGTAGCGCCTATAGAAGATAAGATTCAGGAGTCTCGTTTGCAGTGGTTTGGGCATGTGCATAGAAGACTGAGTGATGCACCTGTTAGACGACTTGAGGGGTGGGGAGAAGAGTCAGAGAAGAGAGGGAGGGGAAGACCCAAACAGACTTGGATTAGAGTAATCAGAACTGATATGCATCTTCTTGAGTTGGATGAGAGTATGGCTTTGGAGAGAGCAAAGTGGAGGGCGCACATCCATGTGGACGATTGATGTCTTGTCTATCTTTCCTCTCTTGTTTCTTTTATCGTTTATCTTCCTTATCTTTTTATATTCTTATGTTATTTTTATCTTCTAGCTTTTTTATGTTCTTTTATTTATTTTTCATTTATCTTGGTTATATTTTTGTGTTATTGTTATCTTATATTAATGTATCTTTATTTTATTCATTTTATCTTACTTTTTTTTCCTTTTTTTGTCCGCCTTCTCTTTTTGGCATCGATATCATAGATCGATTCATGTTAGTCGACCCCAAATTCTTTTGGGATTAAGGCTTGGATGTTGTTGTTGTTGTTGTTGTCTGTCTGTCTGGATGTCTGTACACCGGAAAATTATAAAGAAAATGGTGGATTTAGTTAGACATTGTGTTGTACTGGCTAACAAATTGAATCCACTCTTTTAGTGCTTTTATGGCCAAGTTGAGCAACCCAACTCAATCCCAAATCTCACTTAAGTAACCTATTATCAACTAGCATAATTTACTAATTCTTGCCAGCTTTCTATTACTTGTGGCAACTATCATGCATTTAATTTGACCCTTTTTCGTGTTCTTTACAGGCGTTGCAGGTATGGGAACTTCCGGTTTCGCTGCTCCTAAAACTCACAATCCCTGAGACTTCTCCCACAGAGTGGAGCAGATTTTATCAGTCTGTGAACATAGTTTTTTTCCCCTTGGCCATTCTGTTCTCCTGCAGATCATTTATGCCATTAACTCACCCCATTGTATTTCTTATCCCCAACACACACTTTCCTCTTTGGTTTATAGTACTCTGTGGAAGCTCTTCTTTAGCACTTCTCCATTACGTTGTTGAAAAAGAACCTCCGAAGTCTGAGCAACTGCCGGCCGTGCTTGCTGCATTCATAATGAGTGTATTCTGGATATCGACAGCAGCAGGGGAACTTCTAAACTGTCTTGCAGCTCTTGGGGCACTTCTGGAACTGCCACCTGCTCTTCTTGGTCTAACAGTGCTTGCATGGGGGAATTCAGTGGGCGATCTTGTGGCAGATGTTGCTGTTGCTAAGGCTGGCCAGCCCGCAATGGCCATGGCAGGGTGCTTTGCGGGGCCCATGTTTAATATGCTTTTCGGGCTGGGGACAGCTCTGGTTATACAAACAGGGAATGTTTATCCGGATGCGTATGAGCTGCGTTTCCATGTGAGCATAGTTGTGGCCTTTGTTTTCTTGCTCTTGAGTTTGATGGGATCCTTGCTTGTAGTAACTTGGAATAGGTTCCAAGTTCCCAGATTCTGGGGTTTCTGTCTTGTCGGACTTTACACTCTATTCATGTTAGTAAGCTTGGTCATTGCAAAGTTTTCTGCATAATTTTTTTAGGCAGATGGAAGGAGACATTTCCAGGCAAGATTCTGCCGTGTATCTATCACTACATTCTTTTACTACATGGTGTTCCGTTTTCTTGTGCAGTTTAGTGGCAAAAAAAAGAAAACTTAATAATCAAACAGTAATTTTGAGATAAAAAGACCAAACTGGTTTGAATTTGAATCAAACCTCATTGTCACTTTGGTTTTTTTCGGTTTTGTGAGAAAAAAATCCAATCAAATGACCTAATCTCACTTTGGTAGTGATATTATATGCTGTACAGTTTTGTTCTTATTTTCATAAAACATAATCGCCACTAATCCCTTAACAGGTATTCTTTATAACTAATTTCATGTGAAGCTTAAGGTTTTGTTCTTAATTTCAGAAATTGATGTTTTTTAATTCTAGACATTTTCACGTTTTGATTGCCATTCATGTGGCAACCAACTTTTTGAACGAGGCCTAGTATTTTAAGTATATGCTACTTTTTGAGTGATGGACATACGTAGGGAAGGACTCGGGCCAGGGCAACGGGTTCGGCCCGCCCTGGGTCCATGCCCGGTTCGGACCACCTGGCCCGGTACTGTTTCGGGGCGTGCTCCGGGTCTCAAAAAAAAAAATGAACCAGGTTGGGCCAATTTTTTTTCCTCGAAATCTTTGGGATGTAAATGAGTTGTGATGGGTGTTTTGGAGGGGTTTGGGATGTGGGGGTGGGGGTAGTAATTAGAAAATAAAAAAATAAAAAAATAGATAGCTGACCCGGCCTGAATCAGACCCTGTAGCTACCCGGGCCGGTTCTACGCCACAAGAATCCAGAAAAAAGCCCGGTTAGGCCCGGCCTGAGGCCCAGCTCGAACCGGCCCGAGTCCATGCCTAGACATACACATCTTTCTCTCATGATGTCAAGGAATATATCTTTCTTTGGTTCTTTTTTTAGACACCTAAATCTTCTTCTTAAGTATAATGTGTTCCTAGAGTCGACCGTCTGGACTAGGGACTTCTGGCCCCAGTCGAAAATAATGTTTTCCTCATAGACTAATATACGTAGTACTAAGTATATTGTATGATTTTAGAGGGTTTAATCAAGTGGATATTTCTTTTCCTTTTTCTCATATAACACTAACAAATGCAATATAGATAAATTCGTGGAACTCATTTAACCGTTCCACCCGTTCCTCTGAAATCCCCAAACCAAACAAGACTAAAATTCAACATTTAAATTGTCATGATATGATAGCCAATGAAGTTCTGTTGTTGCACATCCTTTAACCTTTCTTTCCAACCTAGTGTCTTGGAAACTGTCCTCATTCCATCGAGTGATGGGTCTAAAAATTACATTAAAAATGACCAGACTCATCTGTATGTCTCTGGCAAAAAGAAGGCAGGAATAACAAGTTTGTCAGCGAGCATTCTGCCCGTCTTCGGCATAACATGGCCAATGCAATGTAAGGTTGAAACTTTTACCACGGAGATTGCTTCCCTAAACATGATTAAAAACATTCATGAAAACAAAAGACAAATATGCAATACAATCAAACCGATTGGGTGCCCAACATGATCGATGAATCTGTACTTATTTTTGTGGATCCAAAATTTTGCATGCTCTTGAGCCGTTATAATACTGTCCCACAATGAAACCTTTGACAAGAGCGTTTAGGTCAAATGGAGGAAACAATTCAAATCAATCTATGACTGGGCACGTTATAACATAATTTTCATAATATTAAGATCATACGTATTTCAAGATATTAACTTATAGCATCACAATAAAAAAGAAAATATTGATTATGCACAATATGTTCTGTAACATAATTACAATAAAGCATTAATTGTTCACAACATGGTTAGGCTTTAATATCATGATATTACTATTCTTACTTTTAAATAATGCAATTCAAAAGAAAAATTACTTTGTAGAATAAAAATTATAAAAAATCATCAAACTAATACGAAATAAATGGATTTAAAGACTAAAGGATACATTACTAGATTGTAATTACACTTGGTTGTTATCCCCTTTATCATGAGTTCAATTGTGCACAAGGGCACCTATATCTATCTCACTACTCTACCAGATAATGAGATGAAGATATCCTTAGGGAAAATATAAGGAATTTGTAATTAGGTAGATAATTTTCACAGAAAAGCTTATATCAAAGCTGAAGTCAACTACCTCATCAGAAAATGTAATCAAATTAGCATATACTAATTATAATCTCTAATTAGATTCCATCTACTAAAGCATTGCAGATCTTACATGCCTAGAATTTAAAGAGACACAGAATAGACTAATTTTGATATCATTATCTTCAAGTGTATTTTATGTACATAACTTCTCACATTGGGCATATCATATTAGATGTAAGATGGGGAAAAAGTTGAATAACCAACAACACATTGAACAACTTTGGAATCGCCTGATTCATAAGTATGAGAGAAGCCATAGCACTAGAACAAAGAGGTGTATAACTTGAGCAAACCTGTTTTGTATTCCAAGTAAACACTGACTGCAAATCTGCCGATACATTCAGTGTCAAACTGATCTGCATCGAACCAAGCATGGCCACCCATAATAGGGAAAGTTGGTCAAAGCATGCCAAGATCAGCAAATAACATTTATGTGATACTTCTAGTTTGAATTAACAGGCACCGTGAGAGCTATGTTTTAGAACACGACCTGGACCGCTCGGTCCGACCCGGAACCCGCCCACCCGACCAGAAATGAGGACCGGTCACTGACCAACCCATAAAATACCCAGAACAAGGAAAAACCAATTGACTCGCTAAAACTCGTGTCGGCCCCAGAACCGTAAATAACCGAAAAAAGCCTGAGATTTGTAGCTCAAGCTTAAATTGCTGAAACCAGGAATCGACACCACGTCGAGCATCTTTCACCACGTACTCCACTCCAATGGACTACTACACCACGTGCCTGGCTCTTGGTCGGGCTCGTCCATCCTTGATCTAGGATGGCGACCGCCGATTTATGCAGCACGAACGGCTGGCTCTTCAGCATCGTCGTGCTATCTTTTTGATCAGGTTTGCCGATCCTTAATCTAGGATGGCGACCTCCGCTTTGTGCAACACGAACGGCTGGCTCTTCAGCGCCGTCATGCCTTCTTTTTTATCGGGATCGTCGATCCTTAATCTAGGATGGCGACAGCCGCTTTATGCAACACGAACGGATGGCTCTTCAGCGCCGTCGTGCCTGGTGTCGGGACTGCGCCTCACCTATCACTTATGCAGGCCTTGCGTCCGAGACTATTCGAAGACGCCGATTCAGGGAAGGCAAGGAGGGACGTGAGCAAGAGTATACTTTCTTAAGTAGATCCATAGGCTCACTACTCAAGAAACTGGGGGACTTGTGTTGGGGAATATTATCCCGACATGCTACTGTTCAAAGGCCCAAGGCATCACCCCGGTATAGAGCCTAGTCGACGAGGTCCATTTAGGCCTACCCGACCCATTTCGGCCCAACCGGCCCGCTAGGATAGGAATTAGGCCCAACAAGGCCTTTGAGGCCCATTAGCATGGAAGTGCTTTCCCCTCCTTCCTATAAATAGGAGGAGGTCTCTTCCTTAAAGGGGATGGCTTCTTCTCTCCTCCCTGCTACTGCTTCTTCTTATTTTTGTAGATTAGACATTCAACCTCTATTGATGGAGCTCAAAGCTTGTACTATGTAAAGGGTGAGGAGAGGATAAACGAGAAAGAGCAGGCTTGGACGTTAGCCTAAAAAGTCCCGTGGTTTTCTCCTTTTCCGGGTTTTCACGTAAAAACAGAGCATTTCATACATATTATATCTATATTTATTAGTTTATGTTGGACTAAACTCAACAATAGTGATGTTTACTTGTGACTTATTGAAAAAACTGACTTATTCGCGCAGACCTTTGATGACTTATTCGTTCAGTTGAATTTTTACACTCCTTCCGATTCAGACGTGAAGGTGCTGGAGGTGTCTCTTTTTGAACCCGCTTCTCCGTTCGTTTATTTCACCGCTCGTATCAGAACTCCATCTACAACCCTACAATCTTCACCAATGAGAACCCGTCGAGCTATCACGAGAGCAGCAAATAGCTCATCCCCTACCTTCTCAATCTTGGTATTTCCTCTTAATTTATTTCTGTTTTATATTTTTTACCTGTCTTAAATTGCAGCTCTTTTCCTAACCCTCGATCTGATTGCTCTCTACCTAAATAATCTATTTTTGATTGTCTGATAAAATCGCTATATGTATGTTGCTATTCTACTTTTCAATTTTGAAATTAAAATTGATTTTTAGCTATGCATTGAAGACCATGATACGCATAAGATGCCTTATACTTCATATTTTGTATTGAAATTAAATCAAGTGGCTCAAAATTTTCTCAAAGGAAAAGGTTAATTTTTTTAAGGATTAGTTTTATAAATGGAGAGTAATTAGTGATTACAGGTGCAGAGCATCTACGAATAACAACCAGAGAGCTCAAAGATTGTAAAATCTTTCCTGCAATCACGATATAATTCAGAATAGCCAAAGTAAGCATAATATATTTTAAACACATATAACAGATCGAAGGGTAAATTAGGGATGTAGTACCATTCAGACTACACATTCAGCACACATGGTAAACAACTCTGTATCACAGTGTCACTTAATGGAGACAGACGTCTTAATACATACAGACGTCTTAATCCAGACAGGACTTAACCGGGAAAAAAGTAAACAACCCCTTACTCTCTTCCAAAAAAGAAGTAATATTTACTCAATGATGATATATTGGGGTGCACCAAGAAAAAATAAGGGTGCACCGAGAAGGTCCTTTCCTCAAATTGCTTCTCCCGTCCAAAGCAGAAACATACCTCTAGACCCGACCTCCATTAGTGTCCAATGGCGAGCGCGACATTTTTCAGATCTCTTCGTCGTCGCGACCTAGCTAACTCTTTGCCATCGGCCTACGAAACCGTACATCTCCATATATCCTCATCTTTCAACTGCAGTGCATAAGTTTTTTATGTACGATTGAGTGATATCGCTTTTGTTCCACTATGTAATCGGTCTAAATCATTGTAAATTTTCGATCGAATCTTAATGTTTGATATTTAGACTTTAGAGTAGCATCTATGTTATGTTAAGATTTATGGTATGCTAAGATTCCAGAATAGACGAATAATCAT